GCCTTCCGCAAGCCCGATATCATCAACATCATCAAGTTGCTTCTCGCGCACAATATGCCATGTGACCCAGAATGGATGAGAAGAGCCAGTAGTTTGAACAACGTGCCACTTGTGCGCTTCCTCCATGGACACCCCAATGTGTGCTCTCATACCGACGTGATCTGGCAGGCCATCGACGCCAAGGCGTGGGACGCCGTGGACTTTCTCTTGGCCAACTGCACGGCTGATGTCTCAGTTCACGCGCTCCGGTTGGCACTGGGATTCGGTAACCTCGTTGTCGTGTCGCGCATTTTGCGGCGCCAGCCAGAGCTCCACCACGACGACCTTCTTGGGGTGGCGGTTCGAAACCGCAACATGGAGGCGATCACGTACTGCCTCACTGCCGGCATTGGCAAGCCTCGGCAGTGCCTCCTCTACCATGCTTATCATCGACAGCACTCGACTACGAACCAGCTTCTGCTACCGTACTGCATGGATGCGACCAAGAGTCTCGACAATGTAGTGTTTCTTTTAAAGCTCTACGAAACGTCGGACGACCGGGCACGGACGTTGCAGCTAATCTCAAGCGAGCTCCCGTATCAAGCGAGAAAGGTCGCCAAATCGGTACCGTTTGTATCGAGCGTGGCGGCGCGAGCGACGTCTCTACTGCACACTGGTGAGGTTCTCGACGGTGCGCTGGCCCTTGTCATTAGTCATCTCTATGCGACGGACGCCGACGTCACGGCCGCGCGACTGACGAGATTGGCCGACTTGGTCTTTGATGGCGAGCTCAAGACGCAGCTGTATCGCTTCATCACTCGCAAGCGCAAGCGATACGTGCACACTGTGTGATAATGATCAAAACGATGTCAATTCACCGAGATAGCAAACCCGCTGGGTACAAGCTCGTACTAGTAGTGGTCTAAAATCGTCATGGGCATCGCAGCTGATGTAGGCGCGACAAGTGTCCCACGTCTCGGAGGCGTGAGGCTTCTCTTACAACCATTTTGTCGGACTTTGCTTCGATCCCCGTTCCCGCTTGCTCGTCTGCTGCCTCAGTTCCCACTGCTCTTATCTGCAAGCGTGGCGTTGATAAACCTCTGCCTCCGAATAAGATCTTGTTTTGACAGGGCTTGGTCGATTGCGCAACCTCAACAACTATGGTAACGACCTTTCCCAGCGCCAGCGAGAAGTCGCATCGATGGTTTTTGAGTTTCAGTTTGGCTCGCACCAGGGATATGAAGTCGCGCACCAAGCCAAACATCAACATAAGAAAGAGATAAGAAATATGTTTTGAGATGGGTTCGCGACGTCAAACTCAATGTGTACAACAAGACGCACTCATCGTCTCTGGCAAAGCAAGATGCCGCATGCAAACTTGCGTGTTTTGCAGTTTGTCAGTATAGTGTTCGATCAAAGAGAATATGATTTCCGACTAAACGAACAACCCTCAGAATACAACGGATCTAGCCCAACTGGTACATCCGAATAATGCGCTGTCGCAACGGTCCTTCGTGCATTTTTCGTTTTGCCTCTTGGACCAGAGCAGCGATGGCAACGACGTTCGCGAGCACGATCCTCGCCCAGCCCACCATTGCAACGATGGTCTTTGCGTTTCAGTTTGGCGTCTACAACGACGTGCGTCCAGCCTTCCGCGCCTGCAACGAGCTCGTCGAGCTCAGCGCCATGCCAGCCCAGTACGAGTTTGACGTGTCGTTTGCCAAGGCATTCGCCCCCAACAACACTGCGTGGGACGCTCCCTGGCCCTGCTGCAGCCCCACGTACGGTCTGCACTACCGCCAGCGCGATGACCGGCTGCCGCTGCACATGGCTATTGCTGCCGGCTCGATGCGCCTCACCAAGCGCATGCTTGGCTGCCGCCCCGACCTTGCTTCGAACGACGCGATTCTCGTAGCTTTGTACAAGAACCGGCTCGAGATTGCCGAATGGTTGCTGGACCACCGAGCGATGGAACCCGCGCTCTACGAACGCATCGACCTCGACGAACACGGTACGCTACCCATGCTCGAGAAAGAAGCTGACCGTAGCACGTCTAGACGACCGAGTGCGACTCGTCTACAATGCCCTGGACGGTGTTTTGCCCGTCGTCCTCGCACGCGACGACACGAGAGGCGTCGAGTTGCTGCAGCGGTTTGGCCCGTGCCCCAACGGGATGGACCATGGAGCTCTCCGGCGCGCCGCGTTCAGCGCGACGCTCGAGAACTTGACGCTCGCACTGAACGTCTTTCCGTGGTTCAACGACCCGCACCTCATGGACGACTTTGCGAGTCGAGGTTTTTTGTCGTTGGTTCGCTCGCTGCACGAACGCCACTTTGAGTGCTCAACGTACGCCATGGACAGAGCAGCGGCTGGCGGCCATTTGGAGGTTGTCAAGTTTCTGCATTTTAACCGGACCGAAGGCTGCACGACCAGTGCACTCAACGGCGCCATCAGCCATGGACACCTCGACGTTGTCCGCTTCCTTCTCGAGCACCGCACAGAAGGCGCATCGCCCAACATTCTGGAGTCTGCCGCGGCCGGTGGGCACCTGGACGTTGTCCAGTACCTCGACAGTCTCGGGACCTTTGCCTGCACCGAATTGGCTGTCGAAGACGCGGCGAGAGCTGGTCATCTGGAGGTCGTCAAGTTTCTCTTGGCGAACCGACATGAAGGCTGCGGCCGCGACCGCGTCGTTGCCGAAGCTCTCGAGGGCGGGAGTTTGCACATGGCAGAGTACCTGATGTCTCTTGGGTACCCGCTCGTGACGTCTGACATCCACTGGGGCGAGGCTTGCGACGTCTTTCGCAAGCCCGAGATGGTTGGCGTCCTTCGGCTTCTCGTCGCCCACGGCGAGCCGTGGGACGAATTCTGGCTGCTGGAAGCGTGCGATTCCAACAACGTGGCGCTCGTGAAGTTTATCCACGCGAACTCGGACGCCATTTGCCACCCGGAAGCCTTGGCGCGAGCGATTGAGAACATGGCGTGGGCCATTGTGGACTATCTTTTGGCCCACTGCACGGCCGACATTGCGGTCGAGTCGCTGCAGGCGGCGCTACGCGGCGGTCACGTGGACCTTGCAGTGCGCCTGGTGGAGCGTCAGCCCGAGCTCCGACGCAATGGCTGCTTGCTTTTGGACGCGTTGAAAGGCCAGCACGTGGAGGTGATGCGGTACCTTCTCGCTGCTGGCTTTGGCTACCCGCCGGAGTGCCTCGTCGACGTTGTGGGTCGTCGAAACTATGTGACGGCGAGCAAGCTCTTGCTACCGTACTGTATGCATGCCACCGACCATCTTCCGAACGTCCTCTTCCTCTTGAGTGTGATTGCGCTGCCCGACCGCCACCGCAAGACGACGCTCCAAGTGATCGCGCCCGAGCTCACGTACCAAGGAAAAATGTTGAGCTTGAGCGTCCAGCTTGCACCGAGCGTGGCCGTTCGTGCGACCACACTCTTTGAGGCGGGCGAGGTCGTCGACTGGGCTTTGGCGCTCGTCATTGGTCATCGTTGGGCAACGGACGTGACGGTCTGCATCGAAGACCTGTCCAAATGGACTGCTATGGTGGGCGACACGGAGCTCCAATCGCAGCTCACGCGCCTCCTCGCTAGCAAGCGCAAACTCTCGGGCGAAGCCTAAAGCCACATGTAGCCAATCGAACCTATTTTCTCCGTGTTGTGTTCTTGGATAGATCGCCACGTGTGGATAGTTGGATAGGATATATCCGTACACTCGGTAGCCAGCCAAGATGTCCTTGTCATGCTGGCAGATGAAGACACGGCTCCCATACCGCATCCTCTCGCTTGCGTTGAAAATAGTGTTCAGGTTTGTTGATAATCCGATATCAGGTGTGACTTTTTCCAACTTGAAGCCAAGTAGCAGCTCGTCGTCATCCAGAAGCTAGGGGGGTGCGCATGCGTTGTAGTCGCAAGGAAGCGACTTGCAAGGCTGCGAATCGAGCTCACGACGCATCTCCTTACCTGCTCTCCACCAAACCGCGCATTCAGCAAGCGTAAATGTATGTGTCTATAATACACAAGCTGCCGGCACATGCACTTTATGCAACTGAGAGACGTCAAAGCTTCGAGCGACGTTGCTGCATGTACCCCAGGGCACGTATCGTACACATTGTACAATCTCAAAGAGTCGGACTAGTACATCATTGGCTCGAGACGCTCGCGTCGACAACACCAAACTGAAACTGAAAAACAAGTTGTACGAGTATCACGCAAGAGAATGCGTCCTCGCAATTCTCGCCGGATCCAAGTATGTCAATTGATACCAATCACATACTATCGACACGCTGACCGAGGCAGGGGAGGGCTTTAAACCCCCGAAGTCGGTCCCTGGATCGTCAGTGATGCAGGAAGAACCTCACAGTCTAGGGCCTGAGAGCGCTTGGTTCTGACAAGGTGCTGGACAATCTCGCGTGGGACACGCAGATGATGACGCGCTCCGAGAGGAGGCCACGCGTCCCGGATGATAACACTTTCAATCGCTCGTATCTGGTCGCGCCACGTAGAAGCAACGTTCTCTGCTTTCGGGTCGGGTGAGTGGCAAGTCAAACAGGTCAAATGCAAGGTGTGACACCGAGTAGCTTGCGAGCTTGGTCGGTTGATGCGAGATCCCGCATTGCCTAGAGGCACTAGCTCGACGGTACCAGCCGAGTGACCAGTGCTTCTCACTCGTGTACCTTTACGAGCACGTCGTTGTTGAGCTCGATCCCTTCTTCACCGAGGATGTGCAGCCGTGAGGCCCCAGCCCTACCGTAGAATGTACGGTTTCACTTGGTATTTGTATGCTGGTGATGTAGTGCACCGCTATGTATGTGGAAATCAAGGCATGACTAGGCGGCGCCGCGGCTACTATAGACTCTATGTCAACTGGCCTACATGATAAGCTATCGGGTTCTGATAGCAGCGAAGGCTAACACTGCTATTTCACCACTTCAATGCGCGTACGGTACGAGAATGTACGGTACGTACTGTCTTAGATATTGTAGTGGAATGTACAATGTACGCCGAACCGGCCACCCTAGCTGGTCGAACGTGGTTGCGATCTCACCGCATTCTGCCATTTGCCATGTTCTACGCCATTGGTTTCGCCCTCGTCGCTGCCGTGCTCGCCGGTCTCTCGCCGCTATACTGGACGCGCCTCTACTTTGTGCCCGTCCTCGAGATCGTCGCGCACGCGGTCCTCTGGTCGACGCTGCTGCTGCTGATCGCGATCGCCGCCACAGGCCGCCTCGGCCTCTTTGCGAACGCGCTCGACAAACGCACGGTGCTCCTGCACTGCATCGCCAACTTGTTTATGGTCTGCAACTACTACCTCCTCGTCTACGCCTCGCTGCACGCAACGTTGCTCTTGCTGAGCATGGGCTACTTCTTGGCGCCGTTGCTCGAGAGCCTTCTTGGCCGCGTCTTTCGCCGTGAAGCGCTCTCGTCGCGCCAGAATGTCGCCATCCTCGTCGGCGTCTTTGCTGCCATCGTCATTGGCATTGGTTTCGAAGCCGTCCCGGTCGTCGGGCTCCTCGCCGCCGTCTCGATGGCGCTCCACCGCGTGTTGACGAGCTTCAAGCCGCTGCCACCCGACATGAGCGCCGCGCTCGAAGGTCTTGGCCTCATCGTGCCCGCGATCGCGTACATTGCTGTCATCACCGCGAACGGCACGAGCCTCTTTTGGCACATTAGCGGCCAAGTGAACGGGCTTCTTCTCGGTTCCGGCCTCATCGTCGCACTGCCACTCTTCTTTGTGTGCAAGGCGGCGGCGTCGCTCTGCCCCAACGTCCTCCAGCTCGTGGGCTACGCGACGCCAACGTTGTTTCTGCTCTTGGCGATTTTCAACACGGGCGAAGCTCTCCCGCTTATCGCGTTCATCGGGTTCCTCATGCTCTGGATGGCGTTTACGATGGACATCATGGAGCGCCTCCGTCGGACCAAGGAGACCAAGGCGTCCGAGATCCTCGGCGACGCCGGCGTCGGCGACGGCTTCATCGCGGCCAGCCCCGTCTAAGCCGACACGTTTTGAGCTGTACACCTACCGTGTTTATTAACTGCCGTGTCAATACACCTCCGTATGTCGTGTGCGGAAGTCCATGAAGGACCATTGTTGTGCAGCGAGCGCGACGCCTGTGCGTCACCGAGGCGTAGCGAGCGAGCTACAGTAGCAACATGAGATCGTCGTCGTGGATAGCGAGAGATAGCTAGTGGAAGACAAGCGCAGAAGCAGCAGCCGCGCCGACCCGAGCGCCGCCATCGGCGTTCTCTGTGGCAGCGTATTGCCAGGACACACGCGCACGAGGGTATGTGTCAAGTCGTGCCGATGGCGGGCCCGGATCGGTGGCTACTGCTTCAATGGTTCAATGAACCCTTGCTCGTTCAGATGGTAAAAACGAGCTGCGACTGCTTCTCCCTCGGAGCGACAGGGCGAGTTGCAAAGGCAAGTAGCTCATCTTAGAGCCAGCGCATCACCACTGCGCAAAGCCTGTATCGACTGCCAGCAGTGGGCAACCAGCGAGCTACACTGGCCGAGAGCTGGCGGGACCACTGCTCCAACTCGAACGATGACGCTCCGACGTCGCTTGCGCTTCCTGGCGCATCCTCCTCCTGGAAAGGAAGGAGGTGCCTGCAATCAGCTTTGAGAAAACAGAGGTCCGGCTACTCGGTCCAGCCCTCGACCACCGCCAGGCATCTATCTCGGCGCTTGGCACCTCGTCCCAGCGACGACACCTTCGCGTCACCTCGTCCCAACGACCCGCGCAGCCGTCTCGGTCGGCGCTCGAGCTGACGCAGGTTGCATCTTGGCACTTCAATGCACGGCGTTTCGTACCGTACACAATGTACGTTTCATTTGATGCTTTGTATGCAATGTACGAGTACATAGCGTACATTCCACCGCCGTGGCGATCTTGGCGAGTCTGCCAGTTGGCCTTTCTGAGCGAAGTGCGAGTATGTTTCAAGGGCTCGTCTGCGCACTGGCAGCGTACGTTGTGGCCGGCGCCTTCCCGCTCTACTGGCGGCTTCTGGACGCTGCACCGTTCCTGCAGGTCGCTGCGCACTGCGTCGTCTGGGCCGCCACGACCCTTCTCGTGCTCCTCGTCTGCACGGGCCAGTGGCGGGATTTCTGGACGCTGGGCCTCACGCGCAAGAACGTCCTAGTGTACTCGCTTGCCGGTGCCTTGCTTGGCTTCAACTACGTCGTCATGATCTACGGCACAGCGACCCGAAACGTGCTCGCGCTCAGCGCCGGTCTCTTCCTCTCGCCCTTCATGGACGCCATCCTCGCCCGCGCCATCCTCGGCGAGCCCGTTTCGTGGCGACAGTACGCCTCGATCGCGTGCTCGCTTGTCGGCCTCAGTCTTGTCGGCGTCGGCAGCGCGTCGACCCCAATCTTAGCTCTCGTATTGCCCGTGACCACCGGCATATACAACATCCTCAAGCCCATGGCGCCGCTCGAGATGCTGCACGGCTACGCGCTCGAAGCGCTCCTCGTGCTGCCCATCGCCGCCGCGTACATCATTACCGAGTCGGTGCGCGGGTCGAGCGTCTTTGTCACCGGCGGCCCGAGCGTCAGCTGTCTCCTCGTCGGCGCCGGGCTCCTCTCGGTGGTGCCTCTGCTCTTGCTCACCCGTGCCGCCATGCTCTTACCGACCGTCTCGTTCAGCGCGCTCCAGTACATCGCGCCCATCGTCCAGCTGTGCCTCGCCATATTCTACTTCAAGGAACCTCTGGCGTGGCTCGAGCTGGTTGGCTGTGGCATCATCATGCTGGCGGCCGTCGCTTTTACCTACGAGAGCGTTCGCGAGACGAACAAGGCCAACGATCTCCTGCCGGTGCTCTACACCATCTACTTGTATGGCAGCCCCGTACAGTCGAGCTTGGGGTATTGCGACCGGCCGTCGTTCGAGGTCTAGTGCAATGTTAAAATTGGTGAATCGGTTGTCGTCTTTGGGTATTGTGACCGTTCAAAGTGTAGTGCAACGTTAAAATTGGTGAACCGGTTGTCGTCTTGGGGTTAGGGTTGTGCAAAATGCGGGTGGCGGATCGGTCATTTCCTTTCAAAGCGCAAGTCTTGGCAGTTGGGACCGTGCGTTTAAACAAGCTTGGAAACCAGAGGCTTGGATGGTATTGCAGTTTTGCGTGGCTGAGCCATGGCAGCGACCTTCACCAGCACGATCCTCGGCCAGCCCGAGATCGCGTCCATCGTCTTTGGGTTGCAGTTTGGCATCTACGAAGACGTTCGCCCGGCCTTCCGCGCTTGCAGCGAGCTCGTCGAGTTTGTCGCTGAGCCGGACAATGAAGAATACGAGTGCGACGTGTCCTTTCCGCAGGCGTTTGCACCCAATGCCGAGTGGCCGTACAACCACGGGACGTTTGACCCGCAAAAGTACGCTCTGCACTGCCACGAGCGAGACGACCGCTTCCCGCTGCACATGGCGATCGCCGTGGGCTGTTTGGAGCTGACCAAGCGCATCCTCCAGTGCCGACCGGACCTCGCCTCGGAGGACGCGATTCGTTTGGCCCTTGGAGAGAACCGCCTCGAGATTGCCGACTTCTTGCTGGCGCGGCGGGCGACGCTGCCGCAGCTCTATCGACGCGTCAACTACGACGCCGCGGGTACGCTTCCATTGGGAGCATGGAGGTTGGATGTTGACGCAAAGCGCGTAGACGTCTCTCGAGGCCCGAGTGTTATGACGTCGGAACTTTTGGCGCAAGCAGATTCGAGAGGCGTCGAGCTGCTTCGGCGCTTTGGCCTGCCCCGCGACGACGACTTCTACCACGACATAGTGCACGCGGTCTACGATGCGACGCTCGAGAACACGACGCTCGCCCTCGACGCGTTTCCATGGCTCCACTGCCCAGCTATCTTGAACGCTGTCGCGGCGCGAGGGTTCTTGCCGCTCGTGCAGTCGCTCCACGAACGCGGTGTCAACGGCTCGGTCAATGCGATGGACAACGCCGCCACCAACGGCCATTTGCCGGTCGTTCGCTTTCTCCATGAGCATCGAACCGAAGGCTGCACGACCAAGGCGCTCAGCGGCGCCATTTCCAACGGCCACCTTGACGTTGTCCGCTTCTTGATCGAGCACCGATCCGAAGGGGCGTCGCGCAACATCCTCGACCGCGCTGCTGCCAACGGCCACCTTGACGTCGTCAAGTACCTCCATTCTCTTGGCACATTTGGCTGTACCGTCGCCGCCGTCGACCAAGCTGCTTTTGGTGGTCATCGGAACGTCGTCGCGTTTCTCTTGACGCACCGAAGCGAAGGCTGCAGTCGCAACGGTGTGGTCGAGAAGGCTCTCAACGGCGGCCATTTGCGCACGGCAGAGTACCTCCTCTCGCTCGGCTTTCCGTTTCCGAGTGGGGAAGTAGACTTCGACCCTCGCATCTACGACAAAGCCGAGATGATGGGTCTTTTCCGACTCGTCATGGACCACGGCCAGCCGTGGCGCGAAGCCTGGGTGGAAAATGCGTGCACCAAGAACAACGTGCCTCTGGTGACATTTCTCCTCAAGCACCGAGACGCTCGCGCTTGCCCCGGAGCGCTCGCGACTGCGATCGTCGCACAAGCGATGGACGTTGTGCGTTATCTCTTGGCCAACTGCACGACGCATGTTTCGCCAGTTGCGCTTTTGTGGGCGTTGGGCCCTGGCAGCCGCGATCTTTTGTCGCAGATGCTGCGGCGTCACCCCGAGCTCCGGAACGACGAGCTGCTTCGTCGGGCTTCGAGCTACTTCAGCACGGAGGCAATGCGCTACCTCCTCCCTGCCGGCATTGGCAAGCCGCGCGAGTGCCTTGTCGAGGTTGCAGGTCGTCGACGGCACGTGACGGCAAGCAAGCTCTTGCTGCCGTACTGCATGAAGGCGACCAACCACCTCGACAACGTCATCTTTCTTCTGGAGCTTTTGGCGCTGCCCGACATTTGCCGTGCGACGACGCTCCGGTTGATCACGCCCGAGCTCACGTACCAAGGAAGAAAAGCCAGCCAAACGATACGGCTTCCACCGAGCGTGGCTGCGCGCGCATCAACTCTGCTGGAGGCAGCCGAGACTGTCGATTGGGCTTTGGCTCTGGTGCTTGGTCATCTACATGCGACAGTGAGCCCTGAGGAGCTGGCAAAATGGACAAGCATGGTTCGCGACGGCGAGCTCAAAACGCAACTGGCACACCACTGCAGCCTGCGCTAGCGCTCGCCCTGTGACTCCGAATAAGCTTCGCATAAGGAATGGAATACATGCTGCTGCACAGTCGTCGCCGGGCTCGTAGAATCACCACTCTCGACCACTAGTATGTTGGGACATAGCGTCGGTCCTTTGTAGCCAGAGTTCGATCACACTGCGTCAAACGAGTTGTGAGAACTGTATGCAACTTCAACATTTCAAGTTGACACTAACGCCATTCTATTTTTAGCGTCCATTTAGTGTTATGGCGACACGAGCGCCCCGGTAGGCCGCTGGCAGATGCGCAAACCTCATGCTCTCTGGGTAGCCAAGGGCTGTCGCCGCGCCGCCGGGAGCGGCTCCTGCGCGTGCTCAAGCGCGAGCAGCAGGCGCATCGGTATGCACCACGTCGCCTCTATATGTCGCTCACCGAGCCAATGTAGCGTGCCCGTGCTTGGCGACGTAGTGCGAAAGGCCAAGGGTTCGAGCCCGGCGACGCCCAAGGCCGAGCTTCGCATTCACAAGGTGCTGCAGAGTCGAGAGTCGCGGACACCAGTCGTCGCACCGTCGAGCTGCAACCAGTACCAACAAGACCTCGAGGACGAAGACGCTCGGTGCTGCCATCCGTAGCCTGTCTCTTCTCACCGAGAAATGCCATAGCGTCCACGCCCACGAAGCCTTTACGCTACAAGAGAGGAAGGCCCGGCAACGATCGTACAGCAGCGCCCTCATCGAGCAGGTCGATCCCGAACCATCGTGCCTGCTGAAAGACAACGCTGTAGATGCATGCCAAGCTACAACTCCAAGACGCCGACGCCGTCGACAACCGACTCTACGCCGAGCATCTCGCGTGGGAAGGCGTTCAAACCGACGTCTACGAGGTGCAGCCGACAAGCATTCTGACGTCTGACAATCTTGCGGGTGTAGAAGGCCAAAGCAGACGCTGAGCGCAAGGCGACGACCGAGGTGCACGCAGCGCACCGGGCGACAGCCGACCAAGCCAAGCGGTGGCAGGCCGTGCAGGACCTTCTTCAGCGCTTTAACGATCGCATGCTCCTCTTGCCACCGGCCGAGGCACGGCGTGTACGTCTAACTTACCATTTCCAACGCCGAGTGCATTGCATATGCCTAGACGTTTGACGACGCGTCGCGAGAGCTCCACCGCGTCTGTGCGAGCGTCTTTGCCTCGGTACATCCTCCATCACCACTCAACTTCATTCGGCGAGTGTAGAAGCACAAGGACGAGTGGCTTGCTGTCGAGGTGCTGGACTGTCGACGCCAACTCCGATCTTATTGGCTGTACTATAGCACTGCCTCGCTCGCAAACTGCCACGTATTTTGCACGAAATTCAAATGAACGAGGAGCAAGAGCTCCAGGCGGCGGTATAACGAAGGCCTTGAAATCTCGCCTCAGTGTTGAAACTAGGAGCTCGCTGCGGCCAAGGCGACCCAAGTCCGACTCGTCAAAGAGAGTCAGAGAAGCCAGATCGAGCGACGCGCGACGCTCCGGCGCGACCGCCGACACGAAGAGGTAGTCGGCTTTGCGTGCTACTGCGCGCAAGTATTGGTGGGAAGAACACTTATCGCGTCCATTCTTCAGCGCGCGCTTTTGCATATGCTGGAACAGGACAAGGCCACGCTCGACGCCCACGTCGCCGCCGTGCAGGAAACGCGGCAGGCGCGGCAGCAGCAGCACCAAGCGGTGCGCATCCGTGTCCGTGGGACAACAAATGACTTATTTCGAGCACAGGCCTTACGGGCGCAAATTCTCGCACGGGACGAGCTACGCACGCTCGACCGGCCGTTCCAGCGGCGACCAAAAGGCCCTGTGGCAAAACGCGAGGTCGTTTGAAATTGATGAAATCCGTGTCAGCGGGGTTCGATGCGTAGACCAGTCGTCCGCCGTTTTGGGTCGACCCGGAAGGTCCTTTGTCCCCACCGACACCCGCCGTCAAGCATTCGTTTCCCGCAAAGACCGATCATTTTGGCCGTAAAAAGTGCTCTTGGTACGACTAGTCGAGTCGAATAAATGACAACTATTGTACATAATACAAGGCTAACTAGAAATGAGTGAGGCGGGAACGCAACGGTCGCCAGACGTGGCGCTGGAGAAAGGACGTGGGCGACGTTTCTTGGTCCCGGCGGATCTGCTGGAGCGCCTTGAGCACGCGCCGCTGCTTGTACTCCTTTGCAAAGCGGATGGCCGCGTCGAGTCGGAACCAGTGCGGCTGCGGCTGGTGGCGCCAGAGGTACAGCACGCAGTAGACGTGGTCGTTGCGCACGGCGTACAGCAGTGCTTGGCGCGAGCAGCCTTCGTTGCGGAATTGGTGCAGAAACCGCAGACACTCCATTTGCCCGTACGCGGCTGCATAGTCCATCGCACGCGTCGTGCAGCCTACTTGGCTCGCCTTGTGCAGGAAGAGGAGCACATCGACTTGGCCGTGCATCGCAGCTACGTCCATGGCGCGGTCGTTGTCCCACACAGGCAGCAGTCGCCGCACCGTCTTTAGATCACCGTTTGCGATCGCCTTGTGGTAGACAAAGCTACAAGTATGGGGATGATGGCGTCGATGGCGTTGGGCGTACGTACTGCGGATCGTCGTGGCTGGTCAAGCAGTACATGTCCTGCTCGTCGACCGTCGCCACGCAGGGCTGAGGCGCGTGCAAGAAGGCGGCGTTGCGCTGATCTGGCATCGGCTAAAGTCGTCGATGCGTCGGAAAATCGAAAATGGAAAGCCACTGCAGCTCCATTATCGCCGACATGTCGCAGCATACGCGATCACGTTGCAAGGACTGCCGTGGAAGAGAGATGCGCGTGTTTGGGGTGTATAGCGCTGGCGGGTTGTCCTGTTGAGTGAGAAGGCAAGGTGTCGCCGTCCGCAGGACGAGAGCCCTGTGCTCGCAGCAGTGAGAGCTTCGAGAAGACCTGATCTCATGGACGTGGGACATGACGTGGCAGCATATGCTGCGTCCTTTCGTCGTGCTGCGATATGACTGGCGGACTGCAATGAAAACCATCGGAAGCTTCAAGAACGCTGCTTCCGACCTTCTTCTTCGGGCGGACCAAGGGATATTCCTTGGGGCGGACTGCCTGCAGTTGTTGCCGATGAGCAAAGGCCGGCTCTCACCATGCTCGCTACTGAGGACTCCTTCCCATGTTCGCCAGGCGGTTCAACCTTTCCGGTTGGATTTGCAGGCTTAGATCTTCTCAGACCAATGTCTGACAAGTACTATTCGATCGGCTTTGGAATCTTATTCTCAATAACAACTACGGATTGCTCAAAAGAAGCACTTGGTACCAGTGCTTCTTGGAGACAGGCGAGGTTGAGAGTCGCTCCAGGATGGTGACGACGGGCCAGTGCTGGTGGCGTCTCGCTATGGCTTCGGCCTGACGCAGATAGACCCAGCGCGGCGACGGCGGATGCGACAAGAGAAACTCGACGCACTCGACGTGGCCGCCGGCCGCCGCGTACGTGAGCGCTTGCTGGGAGCAGCCTTCGTCTCGGTGGGCGCTCAGGAAAGCGAGGCAGGCGACGTGGCCGTAGGCTGCTGCGTAGTCCATCGTCCGCGTCGTGCAGCCGGCGTGGCCGCGCAAGTGCAAGTACATGAGCACGGCCAGCTGGCCCCAGATAGCCTACTCGAGCATGTGAGCACGGGATACAGCGCCAGAAGCAAGAGGATACCGCGACGTCCATGGCGCGGTCGCTGTCAAAGTACGGAAGCAGGTCACTGACGCCGACGAGGTGGCCGTCCGCGATGAGCTGGTGGAAGGCGTAGCTAGCAGCCATGAGCTTTGTACATACATCGTGGTCGTACTGGGTGTCGCGGCTGCTGCGGAGGCAGAGCTGCTGCTGGACGGTGCTCGTTGGCCGAGGCCGGGCGGCGCGCAAGTGGCGGGCCACTGCCCATCTAGAAGGCGAGGACGTCAGCGATGCGCAGCCGTCGGTCGGACGCACCGCAGACCGTGCTGGTACGAGGCTACCTCGTGCACGAGGCTCGGGTTGCGCAGGACTGACGTCGACGCCGGCTCCATCGCAAAACTCAAAAATCGGCTTTTTGAGCCAAAAAAGCACCGTCCGTGGCAGGTCCGCACCGGATACTACATACCACCTCCCAAGCAGCCGCCGACGCCACGACCTCCCAACCTCCTACCTCGCTGCCCTCGCCGCTGCTGCTATAGTATGCAGGCGTAGGCTCGCCGCGTCAGTCCGCCCAACCGGCTGCGCCCCTTTGACGATGCCATCCCATCTGCTCTGCCCAAGACTGCGTAGCGTGCAACGGTCCGTGTTGGCCGACGTTGGGATAAGCTCGCTGCCTACTGAAAGAGCTCGGGCGTCTGGTCTTCGACGTACAGCAGCGTCTCGTTGACCTTGGCGCCCCACGCACCGAGGCGCGCCTGCAGTTCGCCGAGCTGGTCCTTCTCCAAGACGCGCGGCTACGCACAGGTTGAACCTGAACGACGAGTGCAGAGACCTAGGGCTGTGTACCTGGACCCACTGCACCGACACGATCGCGTCGACTTGGTCGATCGAGCCCTTGATCAAGCCGAGCGAGAGCGCGCGCATGACAAGCCACTCGACCTGGTTGAGCGGGAGGCGCGTCGCGGCCGCAATGTCGGCAAACGCAATGTTGCGCTCGTTCGACGGGCGGTGGAAGATGAGCACCATGAGCGCGAGCAAAGCGACCTTCTCCTTGACGTAATCTTCCTTGTTGACGAGCGCCGGCTACAACGCATGGGGTCGCGAGACTGGCAGAGGGAATGGCCTACCTGGGCGTTGTACTGGGCACGATTGTTGCCGACAATGATGTTGAACTGGTCAATGTCACCGCGGTTGAAGGCGTGCAAGAGGTCCGAGAGCCACTCCTTGTCCGTCCCTTTGAGCGCCCCCAAGATGGGTGTTGCCAGCTAGCTCAAGTCATGAGCGATCGCAAGAGGCTGGAGGCAACGTACGACTTCGCCAAAGTTGAAGACGTCTTCGCCCGTCAGCGCCGCGACGCTGAGGTTGATCGCGAGCGAGAAGCACTCGGCGGGCTTGATGTCGTCGTAGAGCGAGTACGCAAGGAACATGAGCGCGCTCTTGTAAAACTTGTCGGCCGGGCTATGCATGCAAGGATCGTTCGAGGGTAGGAGGAGAAGGCGTGGGAGCGTACCCGACGGCCGAGTAGTACTCGCATGCAACGCGGTAGTAGGCCGCGTGCACGAGCGGGTCGGCGCCGACAAGGCCCTCGACAGTCTCCTTGTTCTCGGCGAGGAGCGCCTTGACCTCGGTCGTCTGCGAAAGGCGCAGCTGGTAGCTGGCCATATACATGCGGCACATCAAGACAGACTCGATGGCATGCGGGTTGACAGTCGTGTGCGACGAGACCGAGCTCTTCTTCGTGTGCAGATGCGTGAGGATGCCATTGAGGAAGGCGACGGCCTGCGCGGGCTCTATACATGGCATGAGGATCCAAGGAGCGGCGAACGGCGCCGCGCCTACCCGTGTAGCGCGTGGCAATGTCGCCGCAGATGCGGATGAGCGAGAGCTGATTGATCTTGTCCTGGAAGGTCGCAATGAAGCGCGTGTAGAGGTCGACCCAGTTGCTGCCGACGGACGTCGTCTCGTCCTTCACAAAGGCGAGGAGCTCCGTCGTGAGCTCGTGGTACAGCTTCCGCGTGTAGAGCTCGCCGAGGCTCGCGTAGCGCGCGGCCAGCGCCGGGTACTTGGCCTGTTCCTCGCGCAAGAAGTCCATCCTCGTGTCGTGACCCCAAATATGACTGTGGAATCCACCCTGCAATTGGCCATTTTGGCCAATCATTGCATCGGTATCCTGGTCCCAACCCTCCTTTTTAACCAATCCTACGCCGCCAAGGCATTTGGATTTCAACCAATCCCAACGCGCGCTTCATCGAATGTATGCAATGTGCAAGGACCTTCGAGACCTAATATAGTGTTAAAAACACGGCTGTTTTATACAAACGCAAAGATACACGGCGATGCCACAGACAGTGGTGTCGCGCGCGGCTACTGCCCCCCATCATCACTCGACCTGGTCCGAACTCGACGACGATAGGTCAATGGCGCCAGAGCCGCTACCTACCTTCGCAGCCAATAATGCCCCAAACCAGAAAAGCTAGAGTCGCCACGCTAGACACACTCGGTGCAATCAGCATCGTAGCCCTTCTTCGGCAAGGGTCGTCAGGCGTGACGCGCCCAAGTAGCCACGCGGCTATGTCTGTCCACAGTGGCGCTAGCCTGTGGCGCTATCACCACTGGCGGCACGAAAATCGTTGGCGCTGTCAGCTCGCGCTACAGCTAAGATCTGATAGCCGAGCCCAGGCGCAGCAGTGCTCAAGCAGTAGCGAGGCCAGGGCTTCAAAGAAGAGGGCATAGGAGCATCAAGCATGAAGCGTGGTATCCTTCTCCTCCGAACGACCACCGACTCATGCAACGCCACGTTGCCGTCCGATGCATCCCACCGTTGCGCAGTGTGTATTTTTCGAGACGGTGGCATTTGTATAAAACACATCTTGCGTCATGACCGCAGTGTTGAGCAACGCGGGCCTCCTCCGGCTCATCGTGCAGTTCCAACACGGCGTGTACGAAGACCTCTTGCCGTGGCGCAAGGAGGCCGCGGCCATGGACACGGCGTGGCACCCGTCTGTGCAAGGCCTAATGTACACGCACCTGCCGCAGCGCTTCTTGCACCTCCCATACACGTCCGAGCACGTTCTCTTTTTGCCCCAAGCAGTCTTGCTGCCCGCGCGCCACCTGAACCTGAGCTCGACCGAGCGCGACCCGCGCCTCCCGCTGCACATTGCCATCATCGACGGCGACACGCGGCGCATTGGCCGCTGGCTCGACTGCTACCCGCAGTGGGCCTCGCCGCAGGCGCTCGACCTCGCCGCGCAGGTCGGCCACCTTGACGTCGTCGTCTACCTACACACGCACCGCGTCGACTGCACGACAAACGCCATGGACTACGCAGCAGGCAATGGCCACCTTTCGATCGTGCGCTTCTTGGCCGAACACCGCAAGGAAGGCTGTACCGAGAACGCCATGTACGATGCGGCCATGTACGGGCACCTCCCGGTCGTCGAGTACCTCTATGCGGCCGGTTTGGCCCGCTGCTCGTCGATCGCGCTCATGCACGCGACGTGGCACCAGCACAACGCGGTCGCTGCCTTCATCCACGCCCACTGCGACGACCCGATCCCGCCGCCGTTGTAGTTGCCATCCTCCTGCTAATTGAACCCGTCAGTGTTGTACTCTACGCTCTGGTTGCCATGGCGATTCGTGTGCCTCCACGACCCTCCACCCGAGACGCTGGACCGCAGGTCTTGATGCCACCCGGTTCTTTGATGCGTATGTAGTACCTCTGAGAACCGCACGCCAGACAGCGTCCATGGCGTTCTTCGCGTAGGAGAGAGGAATTACGTGTCCGACCTCGCAGATCTGACACGAATAGTTGAAGTAGTTACACGAGCTAGAGCGCTCACCTAGATGACAACTCGACTCGGTGGATCCTAGCCACAAGCATCCAGCGCCTTGGACCATCACCTTGTTATGCGTGACGGCGTTATCGTCGAGTGCAAAGGACTACAAGTTGGCAGCCGTCGGGTCGATACCAAGCATTTTCTGGGTGGATGGCTCTTGGTAAAGTCTTCTCGTCCTCGGAGACTCCAGCGCTGAGCCCTGGCAGCGTAGCCACGGGCTTCGTTTGCACCTCGTTGCGTTACGAAGTGGCGCGAGAGCGTTACGCTCGGCTGCAAGATCTCTTGCTCGCATGTCTCAGTACGAGCCCGTCGTTTCTCGATACTGTCTTCATGGCACTAATTTAGAAACGCTGATTCGCTCGATTTCGCATTTGAGACGGTTCTGAGAATAGGCGTTGATAATGGCGTGCGATTAGACCCGATCAAGATGACGGCCAAACGGCCGAGAACAACCCGAATATTTGGTCCTACGACCAGAGCGCAATATGCCCCGAGGAAGCAGCGACCGGGAGGCCAAGGCCCACGACGACTGCGACGACGAGACCAAGAGCTGCGCGAGCTACGACGACCGCACGAGTGACGAGGACGACGATGACCGCCCGGACGCGGGGCCGCCCACAGGCCGCCGCCTCACAGCCCGCCGCCACACGGGTAGAGGCTATCATGCATCTAGCCGAGGCTGATGCGATCTAGTGATGGCGGCGCCGCTCGAGCTTGAGCGCGGCTGGATGCCGCCGCGGTACCCCAAGAGCGCGAGCGAGAAGAGCGACATTCGCAAGGCGCTCGCGCACAACTGCCTCTTTGCGCACCTCGACGACTGCGCCCGCGACATCATCATCGACGCGATGCAGCAGCGCTTGCACGACAAGGGTATGCATTCCCATATGCAAGTTCGCGTGGCATTGGCACATGGCGTAGGCGACGTGATCATCCGGCAAGGCGACGACGGTGATACGTTCTACCTCCTCGCCAAAGGCGGCGTGGACTTTATCATTGACCGCGAGATCATCGGGTCGTGCGAGGCCGACACGCGGAACAACCACTTTGGCGAGCTCGCGCTGCTCTACGACGCGCCGCGGTCGGCGACGGTCCAAGCTGCGACCGACGTGGCGACGTGGGCGCTGGACCGCGAGACGTTCAAGAAGGTGCTCATGGACACGACGCTCAAGCAGTGCAAGCTGTACGCGGCCTTCTTGGCCGAGGTGCCGATCCTCGCCGTGCTCTCGCCGTACGAGAAGCGGACGCTCGCGGATGCGCTCAAGCCCGTCTTTTGCGAGCAAGGCCAAGTCATCCTCGAGGAGGGCACGCGCAGCGACGATTTTTATATTATTTCCGACGGTGAAGTCAAGTGCACGAAGAACGGCGTCGAGGTGTCACGCCCGCTCGGCAGCGGCGACTTCTTTGGTGAAATTGCTCTCATTTCCAACGAAGTGCGCCAAGCAACGGTACGTCATATCGATCATGACAGCTGAGAACGCGGGCGTAGGTCACGGCCGTGCGCGATACGACCGTGCTCGTGATCGATCGAGAGACGTTCAAGCGGCTGTTAGGACCGATGGAGCTCCACCTACGCAACCACGCGAGCTTGTACGACCAGTACATTGGTCATCGGAAATAACGTTGATTCAACAACTACCGTACTACAACGCTGCCCAGTCGCCAGGCAATGACGTGGGGATGGCAATGATCCATGTTGAAGTTGAAGCAAGCCACTTTGAGGATTGGGTGCGCTCTTTCTCTTTACGCACCTATTGAAAGGGGTCGGTTTCTTAAAAGGGAGCACCTGTTTGCGAGAAATGGTGCGCGCCGGATAAAAAAGGTGCTATTTTCGCGGACGCACGCCATGTGATAGAAAGGCCGTTCAGCAAGATCAGCAGACACGCTGCCTGGCGCCGTGCCAAATTGCTAGCACACAAGAAACGAACTATATGTATATATGAACGTGTTTCGCTTTATCTTCATAACCACAAAGACGCCGCATACGTAGAGACTAGCAATCGCTTTCTTCTTCATTCGCTCGCCGGTCCGTGGCTGCGCAGGCGGTGGCGTGGGGTCGTCTGGCTCTTCTGTCGTCGCCCTACGACGCTTGTGGCCGCGGGTGAGGCACTGGATGACATGGTCGGTCAAATCTTTCCAGGCTTCGCGGTCGGCGGCAAAGCTACGCAGTTTGTCAAGGTCGTCGGAAGACGCCAGCGACTGAGGCGGCGTCAGCGACTGGAGGTCGCGGTGCAGGACGATCGGCAGCGTGATCTTGGTGCGTCCTAAGAAACGGGGCGCCTCGGATGGGGCAAAGAAGCGGTCCGCAGCCACGGCTAGCTCGCTAAAATCAGGCACATGTACTACGGGGCAACAGGTCACACGAGTCATAGGAGCCGACAAAGCTACCACCCCTCCAACTTGTGGGACGCTCTTGTGTGATGTACCTACTGAGTGAGACGACGTGTGCTCGAACGAGCTACGATAGCTTCAAGATAAGACGATGGGATACGCTGGATAGGATAGATAGATACGACGGATAGCAAGAGTAGCAGCGCCAACCAACCCGAGCACCGCCACCGGCTCCCCCTTTAAGAGGTAGCAGTGCTACCCGATTCACACGCGCACGAGGGCATGTGCCTGGTCATGCCGATGGCGGGCTCGAATTGGCGACTGCTGCTGTTTTTGTGTAGAGTCGAAGGACCCTTTCCCGTTGTGGCGCTGGCTACCAAGGGAGAATCGTGAGAGGTTTTTACGCTGTGGAATACCTTCCACGGACGGCGGAAACGGGACCGCAGCTACGGGACTGAAGCGCGTACCGTTGGCTTACGAAGCAGAAATCCACCGACAAGACTAATGGTGCTCGACACAATCGGAGCTCCAACATGGCATCTGATGAGTTGGAAGATGCAAATCCGTAGGGACCTGTGTCGAAATCGGTGGCCTGGGATACCTGCGAGCTAGCATGTTGCGGACGTCTCCTGTGAACAAGACCGACGCGGCAACAAAGCTCCAATACAAGTTGAGTAACTTGTATTGGACCGACAGCCAGGTGCGATCCAATATACTGGCCAAGAGACACTGTTTGCACTATTTCATACAGTGTATTTCCTGCAAAACACTGCGTTCAATTCGAATCTTGCATCCGGTCGACATCGCGCTCGTCATGGCCGAGGAGTGGGGCGACTGGCCGATCGACGACGACAACACGCAGCTGGTGGACCTCCACCCGTTCTGGGACCTCGAGCGTCAGCACCAGCGCTGCCAAGCCGCCTACCGCCAGCTTATCGATGCGTCGTTCTGCACCTCTGGTCGATGCCCTCACCCGGACGTGCGCCTTGGCAACGTCTTGCTACCATGGCCGCTCACACCAACGGACGTCGCCAGTCTCGTCCAGGAGTACTCGGCAGGCTGTATTCCGCCTTCCCTCTGCGCTCTTGACCCTGCTTGGTCGAGTCGTCTTCACACGCAGGTCCAAGCCTTTCTCGGTCGCGGTGGAGTGCACAACTGTGCGCTGCAACTGCGCTGCATCTGGCTCGGCGGCGCGACGCTGCTACCAGCCACAGGCTTTGCCGCTGTCTACGTCCTCCTCACACCCGAGCGCGACGTGTGGCAGCTCCGCTACAAGAGCATTCGCACAACCCACTACATGGCTTCGACGTGCACTGGCGCCGTGCCATGGCTCTGCATGTACGGCCACGAGCGCCCTACCTTTGACGATGACGCAGCGCGCGTTCTCTTGGTGTTTGACGTCACGTCCTGCGGCGCGATCCCGACGCTCCCAGCGTCGCTCAAGGCAGCCATCAAAAAGTTCAAGATCGTCGGAAAGGACATCCTCGCACCTTGCGGCCGCTTCGTGTACGGCTGCCAGCCAGGCGTGTCACTGGACGACCCAACGAGTCTGTCGTGTGTCGACCGTGATTTCTTTGCCGCGCTGACGAAAGCCACGGGGCTGGAGATTCTCCTCGCCCGCTTCGCTCCGTCGGCGGATCGAACGCAGCTGGTTGTCGAGGCCGTTGTGCCACTGCCCAAGTACCACCCGGCGCCTTGCTTCCGCGACGCTCTTGTCGGCCTTTCCGTGCAAACGTGGTTTGGCGCTCGCCCTAAGAGCAACCTCCAGAACGTCCATGCACTCATCTACCCGCGTTCGACAGCACTGCGCCTCCTCGGCTTCGAGACGACCATGGACTTGCTCGCTCGCGGCAAGCCGAGCTTGAGTCCGCTCCTCTCTTGCTGCAGCAGCATCGACGACGTGATGAGCAAGACCATGATGGCTCTTTGCGCCGGACGCTGCCCACGACAGTGCCAGCAACGCCGCGTCACGGCAAGCGCGTTTCTGCGACGTTCTTCGTACGCAAGCAAGCGTGCTGGGCTTCGACGGCCTTGCACAAGCACAAGCCTTTGTGAAGAAGATCGTCCGCATCAGCCATAGCGAGGTGGCGTCGGCCGTCGCCGCCGTCATTGCGTACTATGGCTGGTCGCCTCTCGAGCCAGCAATTCTTGCCATGGTCCGTCGCACCGGGAGCTTGCACCGAACGTGCTTTCTTCCGACACTCGAGATGCTTTTAGCTATGTACGGGATCACTTGCAGCAGCAACATCCTCGTGCTCCGACCAACGAGATTAAGCAGCCCGATCGAAGCGATCATGGAGGGCCTCTGGCCCCTGCGCTGCGACTCCTCCGAGCGCTTGGATCACGTCCAGATCCTCTCGGCCGTCTTGCGCTTGGAAGCGTTCTTTGCGCGACCATCGGTGGCGCCCCGGTTCGCCGGCTGCTTGGCGACGCTCGTCCCAGCGCAGGTTGAGCAGCACATCTGGACGTTTGTCCGTCGACCCACGACGCTCTTGCTCGTGGTTCAGACCAGTCGCATCTACAGCTCGGTCGACGTGCTGGCGTCGGCGCTGTGGCCGCTGGAGGAGCACCCGCCAATGACGCGCCAGCTACTCCTCACAGCCATCGATGCGCTGGACTCGGACGCCATGATCCACAACGTCGAGAATCTCGGCGAATTCCTCAAGCTTATGGCGCAGTACGCCCTTTTGCCCAAGCTCTCGCTGCAGGCGTGGCGTCATCTCGGCCTCAGCGTCATTCCAGCGCTCTGCGTCGTGGCCACCACGACATCGACGGCAGACACCGCGCTGCTCTCGAAAGCCATGCACGCTCTCTACGTCACCTGCCTGAGCGACAGCTATGACCCCGCTCTCCACGAGCACAATGCGAAAAGCGCGTCCTCCAAGCGGCGCCGCGACGACGGCGACATACCCCAGCACCTCCTGCTGGATGTGGTGAGCTTCTTCAGCGCGCACGATCCCGTGGCGCTTTATGCGTTCACGCAGTGGCTCGCAGCAACCGATCGACGGACGTTGCAGATCCTTGCGGCAGTGACGATGGCACTGGGCGAGCTGGGCCACCGAGATGCGGCGGCGCCCTTGGCCCACGCCGCTTTAGAACTGTGCAACTGCGGCTTCTGCGGTGGCCCGTCTTGTGCGTCGGGCTTCCTCCGTGAGCGCGTGACGCGTCGTCGCAAATAGGTTGCCCCAAGAACAACGAGTCTCGATATCCCCAGTTCTGGTCGACAGAGCCCCAACTAGTTTGCAGTACCTTGAGCTTGACGGCGAAGTGGAAGTAACCACCGATGCATTTATTTCCCATCGCACGAGAGATCGAGGTGTACTCTTCGAGAGAGTTTTGCAGCACCCAGCATACACTTGCATTTCAGGTTGCGTGTGAATAGTCTCGCGAAACCTTTACAGGCTCATCATCGGTATGCCCGCGCCACGCGCAACGACATTGCTGGACAACATACCTCGTACTGATATCGAGTGGTTTACGCTCGTTGTAGAATACGACAATGATCGATCGCGCCATCTGTGCTATGCAACAAATGGACCACGCCAACCGACGCGCCACGAGCACTAACTACACGCCCCTTTAGCCGGCCAAACCCGCTGACTACGCCGGAAGCCGCATCTGCATTTGGGCTGATCGCACACTTCAAGACGTCAACACAGACCTACTTTGGCTCTGTGTGGCTCGTGTCAGCACGACTGCCAAACGACAGCGTTCGCCAGCGCGCTATCGCAGCCCTCGTCGCACGCATGCTAGTACGAGCACGCTTGAAGGAAAGCAGCATTTGTGCGACGGCAGCACCAAGGTCTGCCACGTGTGCTGGATCAATGTCGCGTCACTGGCTGGCGCATCTGTCTCGTCACCTGTCCTCCGCGCCAGCGTCGCATGAGGCACTTGGACTGGGCAACAACATAGTACAATGGCCAAGTTGGTCGATTATAGCTGAAAAAACTTGGACAAGAACCCTGGCTCCTTTGCGGGAGTACCCGGCTCGGCGTCGCCACGCGACACACGCGGCTGCTGCTTGGGCACCGAGCCCTTGCCCGCGGGTGGCGACCAGTTGTCGGTCTTGATGCCGCTCACAATGATCGAGACGTGGATCGAGCCTTCGCTCGACGGGTCGTAGCACGTCCCAAAGATGATGTTGGCCGTTTCCGAGACGCAGCCCCGGATGATGCTCATGATCGCGTCAACCTCGAAGAGCGTCATGTCCTCGCCACCGCGGATCGTCACGAGGAGCCCGGACGCAGAGTCCATCGGGAGCTCGCCGAGGAGCGGGTTGTTGAGCGCGGCGTGGGCAGCGACCTGCGCTCGGTCGTCGCCCGTCGCTTGGCCTACATATGCATTTGCTCAGCCCAGCGGATCATTCGAAGACGCGTCATACCTGAGCCCATCATGGCGCGGCCGGCCTTGCTCAAGATCGTGTTGATGTCGGCGAAGTCCAAGTTGATAAGACCCGGCTTGACGATGAGGTCCGTCACGCCCTTGACGCCCTCGAGCAGCACTGCGTCCGCGTACCTATGTTGCATGAGCTTGGTGCAAGATGGAAGAAAGTCTACCGGAAGGCGTCTACGATGGTCGTATCGGGCGTCGAGAGCGCGAGGAGGTTCTGGTTGGGCACGACGATGAGCGTGTCGACGGCGGCGGCGAGCGCTTGCACGCCGGCCAGCGCCAGCCGCGATCGGTTCGGCCCCTCGGACCGGAACGGTGTGCTCACGACGCCGACCGTCAAGATGCCCATTTCGCGCGCGACGCTTGCGATCACGGGCGCGGCGCCCGTGCAGGTGCCACCGCCCATCCCGCCCGTGATGAAGATCATGTTGCTGCCGTCCAAGTGCGCCATGATCTCGTCCCGGCTGCTCTCGGCCGCGCTCTTGCCTGCGATACATGAGTCCTAGTCTCAATGCAGCAAGATATGTACCGAGGTTTGGCTTGGAGCCGGCGCCAAGACCTTTCGTAATGTCCTTGCCCAAGGTCACCTGGCGGCGGGCGAGCGAGCGCGCGAGCGCCTGGCAGTCCGTGTTGGCAACGACAAACTCGACGCCTTCCAGCTGTGACGAGATCATGTTGTTGACAGCGTTGCTACCGGCGCCACCGACGCCGACAACCGTGATGACCGGGCGGCCGTCCTTGAGCCGATGCGACTTGGGCAAATGCTCGGTGCGGTGCTTGGAGTCATTGAGGTCGCGGTGCTGCGCGTAGGCGTAGGCGCGAGGCCGCCGCGTGCCATGCGCATCGATTCCATTGAGCTTGGACATGGACGGGTACGCCGTGGACGAGAGCGGCCGCCACCGAAGGGCGCGGGCGCTGCGAAGCATGCTGCTGAGCCAAAGCCGCTTGGGAAATCCTCCGTCCCTCGCTTCCTCCTGCGCTAAGTACGAAATTATTTTAATTCAGGTCAATTGGAAACTTGATGTTTGTATTTCAATGCTTGATTTAGATATTAAATTATCGTGAACGTTTTAAATACGCTTCGTAGTGCAAAGACTAATCGAACGCAACTTGTCCATGTTGATTCAACAAGATCGGGTGATGGTCAGGTCAACTGCCCACGAGCTCTGCCCAGAACCATGTATGCCAGGTAATGCTCCTACCAACGCAGCTTACGAAGGAAGCTATGCACAACCTGTGTTATGTTGGCGACAAAGAGCTGATTGCATGAGCGCGGATTCGGACCAGCGACCGCCCACAGCAAGCGCTCGCTCGCCTTTGGACCGCCACAGTTCGCCGCAGGCTACGCACTCAGACCTACGAAGCGACGCTAGCGCTTTGCTACTCGGCGGGTAACCTTGGTTTCCATCCACTGCGCTTGATGTAACAACGCTCCGACAATGGCGTCTGAGTCCGTGCCGGTCTGATACTCGTTACACCAGTATGGAATCGGGCATCAGCTCAGCGTTGTATAGTCTGCTCAGGGCGAGGCTCGGGCAGCCGAGATCGGGCGATCGTCGACTAGAGCACTACGAGCCCGTGGCATACGTGCATGTTGGACGTTGTCGGTGCTGTGGTCGGCTAAAGAGGCGTGGATCTAGCGTCGGTTGGGCCGCGTCGCACCTAAAGCATGTCTCTGTGTCGTCGGGGTGTGTGGTCACTCGTGTTGCATAGCACAGCCAACGACGTCGGTCATTGTCGTGTACCTACACTACCGTCTATCCACTCTGCCCTGCGCACGTGGCATACTGGCAGCGGGCTACGCCTTCACGTTGGTCCGCTCAAAGTGGCAGTGCCAGTTGAACCTGGCGCATCACAAGACTAACCGCACGCAACTTGAATCGTTGCTGGTTGAGCTGGTCGGGTTGGTTCGAATGCGCAACCAAGAGGACGGCGTCGGGAACGTAGATATGGCTCATTCTGTAGCGTCTAAGCTAGCTCGCAGGTATCCCAAGCCACCGATTTCGACCCAGTTACCTACGTTTTTGCATCTTCCAACTCATCAGATGCCATGTTGAGCGCCGATTCTGTCGAGCGCCATTAGTCTCGTCGGTGGAATTCTGCTTCGCAAGCCAACGGTACGCGCTTCAGTCCCGTAGCTGCGCTCCCGTTTCCGTCGTCCGTGGAAGGTATTCCACAGCGTAAAAACCTCTCACGATTCTCCCTTGGTAGCCAGCGCCACAACGGGAAAGGGTCCTTCGACTCTACACAAAAACAGCAGCAGTCGCCAATTCGAGCCCGCCATCGGCATGACCAGGCACATGCCCTCGTGCGCGTGTGAATCGGGTAGCACTGCTACCTCTTAAAGGGGGAGCCGGTGGCGGTGCTCGGGTTGGCGCTGCTGCTACTCTTTAGCTATCCATCGTATCTATCTATATATCCTATCCAGCGTATCCCATCACCTTATCTTGAAGTTATCGCAGCTCGTTCGAGCCACACGTCGTCTCACACAGTAGGCACATCCCACAAGAGCGTCCCACAAGTCGGAGGGGTGGTAGCCTTGTCGGCTCCTGTATGACTTGAGTGACCTGTTGCCCCGTAGTGCACGTGGCACAAGCAGCCGGGCCGTCAGGTCGCCCGGCCTACCTGATACTTCTCTCAGCTGGAATGGCGCTGGTGCAGATTCAAAGTAGCTTTACCAGCAGCTCCTCCAACTAATTCTCGCTTCGTCAACCTCCAACAGCTGCCACCGCTAACGTCAACTGCTCTGCGTCAACGACAAGACGCCACATATCGACGCGCGAGACAGGCGGGTGAATGCGCAGCCACGGACGGCCCATCGAGGTATGAAGCTCCTATCACGCTCGCCATCAGTCCTCGTATTGACAGCAAGAGCGGTTGGTTCGATGTAACAAGTTCTGGTTCGGCCTATCACTGCATCGACAGTCCGTCGCCCGTGCCGTGCAGTACCCACGTTGACTCGGCTGCTCGTGTCTAACCCTACCCGCCACCACCCGATCGACTAATCAAACAATGCATTACGACAACGAATTAAGGACTGTTGGGCGGCGACGCGGCCGAGGACGTGACGCGGGCCCGCCGCAGGCAAATGATACTGGCCGACGTCATGATGATGGCCGTCCCCACGACGCTGAGCGGGCTAATGAACTCGTGGAGGAAGAGAATGTCCCAGATGAACACAAAGACGATGTCGAGGTAGCGCATGACCGAGCCAATGCCGACCGACTCGAGCTGGAAGCCTTTCGTCAAGCACACTTGGCCGAGGAAGCCGAGGACGCCGCTGCCAATGGCCGAGAGCCAGAGGTCCCACGAGAGGTCGAAGGTCACGGTTTCGGGCCAAAGGACCATCGCGATCGCCGAGCCGGCCATGCACGAGAGCGAAAAGTAGTGCACGATCGCGAGCAAATGCATGCCGACGAGCTTCCGGACAAAGACGTAGTCGAGGGCCGACATGAGCGCCGAGAGGAGACCGGTCCAGACAGCAAAGGCCGCATACGGGCCAAGCACCTTCTGGTCGGCGTCCGGGTCTTCGCCAAAGAGAAAGGTCGGGCGGGAGACGACGACGACGCCGCCAAAGCAGCAGAGCGCGCAAAAGAAATTGACCACGTCGATCTTCTCGTTGAGGAGGAGCGCGCCGAGGAAGAACGTCATGACGGGACTTGTAAAGATGATGACGCTGGCGTCCGCGAGCACGAGCTGCGACATGGTCCAGAACGAGAGCGCCATCGAGAGGAAGCCGGCGACGTTGCGCACGAGGAGGTTGAACCGGTTCTCGTACTCGACCGTGAGGTCGATCTTGTAGTAGAGTACAAAGCACTACCATCACCACTACTATAGGCCACCACGTCCGTGTTGCACATGGAGAGACGTACAAGGTTGATGAGCCAGGCAAAGCACGAGCGCCAGAACACCGTCTCCATGGCCGAGAAGAAGTAGCTCTCGTACCTACGGGCCGCATAATCATAAGCATTTCGACCAAATCGATGGTGCAACGTACTTGATGGCGCTCGACATGAGGCTAAAGGTAAAGGCCGAGAACGAGATCAAGATGAGCCCAAGCAGCGGGAACGGCGGGTCGGCCTTGGGCGTCGACGGCGGCGTGACCAACGGGAGGAGCTCGCCCTTGGTCATTGGCTTGGCAGTCTGCTGGAGCATCTTGGGACTGTGGGCGACGAGTGAAATTGCAAACTGAGCGATCGACTCGACTGCGAGACGGCGTCGAGCGCTTGTACGATGTACTTGTTGGATTTCCCATGATCGTCTCTATTATAGTCAACATATCACAAGTGGCTCGTCACGTCGGAACGTCAGCCAAGAGCGGAGGCATCCGTGACCCTGCGAGAGCGACACGAGACGGGTACGAGACGTTGGGAGCTGGCACGGCCACTGAAAAATTGTATCGTCGCGACGAGATCCCAAAAGCTCCGCGAGTCGGAACGTCAGATAATGCAGAGGGACGGCTGGTCGTAATCGGGTGCGACGAGACGAAGACCGGTGTCCAAACCTCCCTGCGAATATCCTTGGACCGCTGTTCTTATACCAGGGCATCGGACGGCGACGAACCACTCGAGATTCCAAGGATGATCGCGCCGTGGTTCGAAGAAATAGTGTGAGATTCAGCGCTTTGAAATCTTAGAAATCTTATATATATCGCCAGTGATTATAAGCTGCGAGAGGAGTATTCATTGCATCATTATCGGCATCCATGTGCAGCCTCGTCAGCAAGGAAGGGGCTCGCAAGCGGTGCGCTGCGGCGCCTGCATCTACTAGTGTAGTTGCAGACGAAGGCGAGAGGCCACGCGTGCAACCACGCGCCATGTCGGAACGTGGCATGTCGCAGCTGCCTACTTTGCATATTCACCGAGGCGCATCCGACGAGATTCTTTCCTGCAAGGACGGGCGTTACGCACGCTCTGCTGGTGTCGACGGCCGCTGCGATTGGTGTGGCCAAAGCCAGTCATTGCCAAGAGATGCAACAGCTCGCAGCGAACCAAGCTGCGCAACGAAGATGTAGTAGCTAGAGTCCTGGATGAAAAAATCACTGGTTCCAAAGCTTGGCCGCGTCGAATCAACCTGGACCTTCCAGCGATTCGATAATTCCTCGCATGGTGTTCGACGCCACTCTTTCGGCTTATGAACCATAAACGTTGCAGCGTAAAAATGTTTGGCACACGGACGAAAGGAAGAAAGAAAAAAAAGAGGGAAGGAAGCAGCGAGAACACTGGAAAATCGGTATGCCGGTCTATGGCGTTCACTCTAAGACACCAAAGGTCTGGGCTCCGGTCTGGGCTGCCAGGAAGTGCTCCTTTGACGAATTAGACTTGATGTTTGTATGCTTGTTTGGATTATTGTGCCAAAATACGATTTATGGCCGACACGATAGGCATTTTGACCAATCAAATACGTTTTTTATGCTTACTGGCCGCGCTAACTAATTGCGTTGATCTGATTGGCCGCGCTAACTAAAATAGAATATCACGCACTTTGTATTAGATCCAAAAGTGACCGATGGACGGCCAGGAAGCGCCCGCCGAGTCCGCGCCCGCCGCGCCCGTCGAGTCCGCGCCTACCGAGTCCGCGCTTGCCGCGGCTACCGTTTCCGCTCCCGCCGCGCCCGTCGAGTCTGCGCCTGCCGCGCCCGTCGAGTCTGCGCCTGCCGCGCCCGTCGAGTCCGCGCCTGCCGACTCAGCACTCGGCGCCTACGGGGCTTTGTGATGTGGCATCCATCCAGTTGGTGAAGCCCATCGCTGTGAACCGTGCAACAACATGTGAATTTGCCGCGCCGTCGCCATCGCCTCCAGTACAGCGTGAAAGGCGCCCGCGTGCCAAGTCGACGTGCCTGGGCTGCAACAAACCCAGGAGTGAGCACCCGCGGTTGCTTGATAAGCTTGCGAAAGCTTGCGAGGTCGCTCTTTACATCAAATACCTTCTCGACCAGCACAAGAAGGTTCCCCGCACAAGCGCAGACTCGTAC